ACAAATAATTTTGTGAACATATAAACTAAGCTAAATACAAAACAGATCAACTCCATTAGAATGCACGGTACCTTCGGGTTGTTACGCCTCTTTCTTGTTCTGTTCCGTGCTGCGGGCAGCAGGCGAGAGTACATATTAATAAAAGACAGACGAGCAGGGGAATGTCCTGTGACCGTCTGCTAATTGAACGGACTATCCAATCCGTCCGGGACTTGTCAGCTTTGCGCCAAATGAGTTTCAAAGGTAAACGGGGAGCGGAAAACTGGCAACTGGCAACTGGCAACTGCACAAAACTGTCTACATGTGTCCCAAATTGGCGCTCAGTCGGATTAGCTGCTTTTTGCTACAATCACTAGCCCCGTTTTTTTTCGTCCTTTTAGCGGCTGCATTCAGGTATGACAACTGCGAACAGGTGGCTGGGCAAACATTTACGTAAACTGCTCGACCCCTTTCCAGCCTTTCAACTGGCCATAAATATTTGCCCTGGCTAATTCAGTGAGCATCTGGGTCGCGCTGATCTCTGACACGACTCCTGCATAAATTCAGGGCGAGTGGCAGGGGATCTAAATATCCTGCAGATACCCCACTCCACTCTATTCCACTCCCCCATTTCCGTTTGGGGGGCCATCGGCATAATTTACTTGGACTTCCGCTTTGGCTCACTCTACCCGTGATGTGCATATTTTATGCCCTTTATCATAATTTATGCGTTGATATGGCAAATGCATAAAATTAAATTTAATTCACACACACACACACAAACACATTCGTCCTTTTTGTGTTTGCCGAATGCATTCAATTTTGATTTAATGTTACACCGCACCCCCTGTCAGTGAAGTTGCCATTTTTAGCTTAGTGCAAATGACTGCTAAAATTTGCATAAATTGCACTTAATATACGCTCCATTTCCATATTCGAATATTTTTTGGTGAGATCAGGTTATGCAAATGGAACCCAGACGTGCCTGATTGGATAATTGCCGGTAATCAACAACAAAACGCTTTTCTAACCTCTGTGAACTTCGGAACTGGGGCCACAAATAAATTAAAAAGCTATTTGTGTGAAAAAAAATTTAATTCTGGAGGTGTCCTTTTTTATATTCCAAAATGGAAATATTTATTTAAATTAAAAAGCTGTTAGTAGCTTGTGCTACTAGAAAATAACAATCAAAACTTTATCTATTCTTAGTTTTGTTTTATAATTTAATTGTTATAGAACTTTCTTCCCTTAACCTAACCTACAGTACAAAATTAATATCTTTATAACCTAGAGAGGGCAAAAATTATTTAATTAAGCCATACAAAGCCTGGCTCTAGTTCTATTCCACTTCCTTTGCTCGTTTTATCGAATACGTTCGTGCAATAAAAATTTATTACCATCATCTCCATCCCTATGGTTCCCACCCAGACTGGACCATAAAAAACTTGCGGAGAAAAAAAAGAAAAGAAAGAAAAGGAAAATCGGGAAATCGGGGGATAAGGTTGGATGCTGATGATTTTATCACGGCCAGCAGTTTTTCAGCTTGAACTGTGGCAATGGCCTTTTATTCAATTTGCGCGCTTCATTCAAATTGTTTGCCGGCCAACCGAGGGAAAGAAATGCAAAAGTTTTGGCCGCCTTTTGAACTTTTTGGCACTCGCCACCGATTTATTATTGAGTCTGTAAATCGCCAGCTTGTAGCCAGTTAAGCCAACTGCAGCCGGCTGCTTTAATTTCAATTTAACATCAGCAGAAAAAATTGTGAAAATGTGCGAAAGAAATAAAGTAAAGGCATCGCCGCGGGGCGCATAAAATGCGGCATTAATTTGACAGGCAAAGTCTGGGTGCAGAGGCATGTGTGTGCAGGAGCAGCAAGCCATGGAGCTGGTTTTTCAGGGGCATTAAGGGGTTAAGAGCTGTCGTTGCTGGGGCGAAAAAAAAGAAGAATGAATCGCGTGAGTAACTTCTCGTATCATGTGGCAATCTTGAGGATTCGATTCCCCGAAGGTGGCCAGCGGCAAGTTGAGAATATGGGTTTTCATTCACTGCAGGAAAATCGGAAATACATCACAGTTGAGGCAGGAACTCTGATTTGTGCAGTATTTCCTTTAAATGTAAGAAAGAGATTTATTTCATATTAGAAAACTGAAGTTGGGTATTGTAACTAGTATAATTTAAACATTAAATCTATAGTCATTCCTGGTTAATTTAGTCACAATTCAAAGGGAAACTACCAGTTTTTTCTTCAAGTACATACTGCATTATATTTAATTCAGCTGAAAGCACAAAATTTACGTTAACATGATCGTTCGATTACCTCATCCCAAGACCTCATCCTGGTAGTACTTACCTTTTTGGGGGTTAAGGCTGAGTTTTCCCGGCGACATCTGCTTCAAGATCATCCTTGGAGGCTCTTGAGGAGGCCATGGCCTGTAAGAGCATACTGGCGTATAGAGGAGCTCCTCTTGCCACGTCTACTTGCCCGTCGAAAATGCAAAATATCCGTACCGCAAGCAAAGCCGACGGACGGCTGTTGCGATAATTAATTCATAATGCCAGGAGAGTATCCGCTCGAGTGGCCGAGAAGAGCAGAGCAAACACTTTATTAAAATTAAAATTTATCTAAATTGCGACAGCAAGCTATTCTATCCGCAAAGTACTTGGGCAACTCCGTCCTCCTCCGCCTGCGTCACCGCCTCTGCCTCATCCTGACAATGACGGAAGGGTTGTTCCTGAAGCCAGAGCAAAGCAAAGTGTCTGGCCCCGTTCTGGATATTTTTCCCCCTTTCGCCAGGACTCACTTTTCCCCTGCTCCTGAGCTGCACTCCTTGTTGCTGCTACTCCGGCGTCTTGTGTCTGTCAAACGTCAGTCTTGGCGCTGTGGAGCGTTGAAATTGAAAGCTCCGCTCGCTTTGTCTTCTGCCCAGGTGGTGAGAAAGCTGGCGGGGATCTGTCCAGGATGGGAATGGGAAATGGGAAATGGGAGAAGGTGCAGTGGTAGTAGGGCCCTGAGCCTTTGCATTCCCAATGTGTCACTTTGATTTATTATTTTCGACAGCCCTCCCCACGGAGCCCTGCTTAAAGCACTTGTGAGTAAAAGCAGAAGGAAGAGCGTACACTACGCTCAAAAATGCCACTAAAATATCCAAATATTAGAAAATGTATTATTATTATCTTAGTTTTTTTATTTTGTAGCGTTTCTTGATTGAGTCATTTTATATTTTAAATAAAAATAATAAAAGTTGTGGTTGTTAAGACTTTATTGGCATAAGGAAACTGCTTAAGATAGCCTCCTTTGATCCTAGATTTCTTCTCATATTACTTTTAATTTTCTCTAAAGATATCTGAAAAGTTGGGTACTGTATATTTAGAGCATATATATATTCATGTGTCAACATATTCACATTAAAAAATTTAAAACAATCTTCTCAGAATTTCTTAAATTAAGCAAGAAATACAGTACAATAAATAATAATTAAATGTTCAAAATTTAGTTTCAAAAATAAAACATTAGTAAGTATTATAAATATATGAGATATATGATATTATCGATAATATTGATATAATAAATATTGTATCAATAAGTTATACACTTGTCAATAGATCTATAAAACTTAAAGATATATCTTTTAAGATATCAAGTGACATATTTTGGTCAAAGCATCACATCTGACATTTCATCTCGATATATGGGATGAGATGCAGCAATTTCTTTCAGTACATCGGCATCTGTGTGCGGTTCTTGGGGAGGGCACTGCTCGAGCGCAATTTTTCATTTCCCTTTGCATTTTTTACACGCCCCTGCCACTTTACGTTTTTATCTCATTTATTTATTTTACAATTAGACAAAGTGAAGTGCACTTCCACACGGGCAACAGCTGCACATGCTCGAGGGTACTGATGTGGGGATTGCAGGTTAGGGATTGGATTGGGATTGGGATGGCACTGGCAATGGCAATTGCAATTGCAATCGGAATGGCATCTGCACCTCCATGTCCACATCCACGTGCCCGTCGGTTGTGTACTTTGCGGCATGGCAGCAGGCCAAGGAAGACCAGGCACTGGGAGAGGGCCAAAAAGGTACTGTGGGCGGCGGCCTTGTGGCTGTCCTAAATCAAAAGCTTACGGCCGAACTGCTTAAAATTAACATTAAGGCTTAAGTATGGCGTAGCATAGGCTCATGGCGCCCAGATACCAGATACAAGCTAACGAGATACTTTCTTGCCGAGATACTTTCTCGCCAAGGCTGAGCCGGCAGGGCAGGCAGGCAGGCAGGCAATAATCATAAAAGTAGCCCGCACACAAGTCCCTCGCAAACTTTTCACATCGACGAAACAAATGGCAAATGGCCTGGTAGAAGAAACACTTAAGCGCACAGGTAAGTGAAAACTCAAATAAAAATGGCAAAACACCCCCCGAAAAAGGGAGGAAAACTTTTACAATGCGAACGCGACTCGATGTTGGGCTATTTTTGGGCCTCGCAAACTTGCAGCTTCGCCCGGATTCGATAAACCCTCATTCTGGCAGCTCTTAAAGGCAGCTTTACCTGAGACTTTAATACAGATTTACGGATGTCCCACATAAGGTAATTGTAGGGGGAACAATAGAATACTATGTATCCGAGAAACTCTTAATCAAAGGTGAGCTACAAACTAAAAAAACTGCACATATTCCTATTAGAGTATATACATAAATCATCAAAGCACAAATAAAAATAAAAATTTCCAGAAAATGCGACACCTTAGAGTCTTGACTTTAGACTAAACATTGCTAGAACCCGTCGCCGTCGTCAAGACCACAAGCTCGAGTTTCGGCTGTCCAGACCGTAAACAGAAAAACCATTTTTCTTCAAAGGAAATATATTAATATGATCGTGTACTTCAAAGTCCACATACGAAAAAGTACTCACTCAATTATAGTTGGAAAGCTATAAAGAACAAAGCCGATCTTCACTCAATAAAGCTTTTGGATCTTAACCGAGGCTTGATCGATACCAAAGTAAGAATTTAGAAATGAGTTCAGCTTGTGAGTTGAAGGAATAAGGTCTGTTTTCTAAAAAAAAGGGTACATTTTATTACTTCTAGCTAATAAGAAAGGCTAATTGTTTATAAAGTGAAAACAGTTTGGTGAATATATTCCTAGAAAGGTTTTGGTAAAAATCTCCTTCAAAGAATTTAAATTATTTCAGATCAGTGCAACGTGTTTGTGTAAAAATGATATAATAAAATCCAAAATGTACCCATTATATATGTATATATAGTAATATCATCATTTAAACTAAATTAATTTAATTTGATTTTATTATAGTTACTTTCTGTATTCAAGCATCATGGAAGCTGTTGTGGAGCTATCAGATTTAGAACTAAATCAAGCACTCATGCTAATTGCACAGGTGCCAATCTTCGACGGAACTCCTGAGGATCTAAGCAATTTCATAGCACGAATTGAGAATATCCTAAAATTGTATCCAACCCAGGATGAGCGACAAAACCGCATTCTATATTTGGCAACCGATTTTCGTCTATCGGGAGAAGCCAGTCAAGTAAATGCGATGGGAGAGGAGAAGACCTGGTCCGAACTCAAGGGAGCCCTGAGTGAGGCATTTGAAGTCAAAACACGTATTACCAAGAGCTTCGTAGATGAACTGGAATTTAGAGCCTACAAGATTCGTAGTAAGTTGGGTCTAGACAATGATGAAAACACAACCAAAGATGTTATTGACCAGAAGCTATCAGATCGTTACTTAAGGTCTTTAAACCAACTCGATATTTCAACTATTTCGATTCTTAAGAAAGCTTCTCAAATGCGAGGCTATTACGAACGAGAGGTATTAAGGGAAAAACATAGAGATCCTAATGATTTATATAGGAAACAAAATAATTTATGTGATTTACATAGGAAACAAAATTCTGAAAAATCACCTGAATCCCCAAGGGTTATTAGGCGTGGTCATAAGAACTTAAATAAAGACAAGTTCCCATTTTAAAAAGCAAATTTATTCATAAAAAAATAAATGAAAATTTATAAGAAATATTATTAAATAATCTACATAACATTTATATTAACAAAATTAAATACTTAATCGAATACTCGTAAAGAGTTATATGCACTTAATGAACTTATATAACTTTTATAACTTTGTAACTTATAACCTAATAATAAAATTTGTCATATCTTTGATATATCCAGCTACTAAACTGACTTATAGTCCTTTTTTTCTATTATACGAAATGAACATCAACTGGTTTCTCTCGGAATCAAGTGTCTTTGCACCCACGTTCCCTGTGCGGCTTTGATGCTTCCCTCGATGCGCCTGGGGATAGGCTATGACTTTGGCTATGGCTGTGCAAGGCAAGGCTTTATTATTGCGGCGTCAGCTCTTTGAAGTCAGCACAAATTTTGATTGCAAACGGCCGGCGGCCTGACATTTATTGCCGCCCGGCTTGGACTCTGGTCTGTGGACTGTGGATTGCGGTGCAGCATTTGCTCGGACTTCACTTGGCATCCCGATTATGAAACTGGTGCATCCTTTAATTGTAATTTCAGCTTGCCTCGACTTTAAGGCACCGGGAAAGAATCCAGAGAGCGTCGAAAAAATGGCAAAAACTCTGGAAAACTGCTAGTTTTCATTGCATTAGCCTGCCCGGCAAGGTTGAAATGTCATCGCAAGTCACAGAGAGACAATCATACAAACCGACACACACTCTCACTGGCACAGAGATTTATTGGGAAATATGCAAGCTGAGCAATATTCCCCCTCTACTTTTGTCAGCCAGCCGAGTTGTCGTTTTGGCTAATTCTTTTTAGCCAAAAACTAGACTTAAATGGGAATTTAGAAATTAACAGCCATGTTCATTAAACTATCTATGTTTGTGAGTACTTTAAAACATTTTAATTAGTTTAGGATTGCATATTTTAAACTAAATTGATTGGATTACTAATAAAGTCTCCGTTTTAGCTGTCTCATTCTAGAATAGAACAGAACCATATTAAAACTCAAAGAAAAAATTAAAGATATACTCCACAATTCTTAATTTACAAAAAAATGATACTAAAAATGAATACCATTAAGGAAATATCAATTCAAATAACTGATCCTTAAAGTAAAAGTAAGTAAGAGAAAGTTTTTAAAATTCTGTAGTTATGGCTATATAATATTAATTAACTTTAATTTCTTACTACATAAACTTTTATTTATATAATAAACACTCTTACAATCTTTGCTTTTGTTTCAAACTTATCTGAAAGCTGCATATACACCATCGACCGCCACTTGAGTCGGCAAATGATATAAATTAACGCATGTTTTTCTTAGTAAAATCTTTTGTTTATATTATAAACTCTCTTAAAATCTTTGTTTCTGTTTGAAACTTTTCTGGAAGCTGTGCCAACACTATTGCCCCCATCTGAGTGGGCAACCAAAGTCGAAAAATTTGTGAAATGCGACCCAATTTTGTCGTATCGCAACATGGCAGAGTTCGACACATTTCCGCACCTAGACTGAGGCTGAAGCAGAGGGGAGGCCGAGACAGGGGATCCCCCCGACTGACATTTTGTCGAGCTGTGCATTTGGGGTTGTGCAGGCAAAAAGTACGAGTGCCACGCCCACTACCCATCAGTATCAGTCCACATTTCATGGAGTAGGTGAGCCAACCATCCGTCAGTTCGATTTATGTCACGCAAACACGGCAGACCTGTGTGCATTTGCGTTTGCTAATTAACAAACGTTTGGTCTAATTTCCAGGCAGGGACACTCTGCTTTTTTTGGCGGTCAAACTCACTAATTACACCGCAACGTAATCAACTGGTGCAGTAGTCCACTTCATCAGCAGGAAAATAGTTTGTTTAAGCATTTAACCGCAGAAAAAAATATATAGAATGGGAAGCTGCAGGGTTCGACTCCATTTAACAATTAATTTAGGGTCACATTTAATGGAAATAATATATATAATCTTTTAAATTTAAAATACCTTTTAGCATTAATATTGATTCTGATGCAACGAAAATATACTTTAAAAATTATTGAATTAATTAGTGCCACAATTTGATGATTTAATGATTATGAAGGGGCCCGTTGGTTATTTGAGTTCCTGGTAATATGTGCTGATTTACATTTCAAAATCCATTACCGTGCTTTGAACGCGTCCTTTGTTTGCCTCACAATGAACAGAGTTAAATTATTTTGAAATTATTTCTATCGCCAGTGGGTGGTCATTGTGGTCATGAAAATGTTATGGTTTTTATGCTTAATGTTTGTTTGGCAACAGTTCGGGGGCAAAAAATCCAAATAATTGAAGCGTTTAAATTCACATCAATATAAATTATGCACAGTTAGTGTAATGAATATTTTGCAGTTAAATACCACACCGACCTCAGTAGCCCAGTTCCCCTCCTTTTGTTTTTGGAAAGCCACTCTAATGCGAGATCGCCATGAAACGTGTTATTAAGCAATATATTTCAAATAAATGCCTATTAAGGTTCATGAGTGAATGGTAGTTGACAACCCCTCGAAGGGCTGACTAATATCTATATTTATAATGTTTTGAAAAATATTTTTAAATAGTTTTCATGTTTTTATAATATTACCTAGAGCAATACATTAAAAGGGGGCAAGAGGAGAGTTTATTAAGGGTTTGCATAGAGTAATCTCCACTTCGAATCATGCCTTTTTTCACTTTTTCTGTCGAACGTTGCTGATGGGGCTCTTCATAAGTACTAATGCCTGTAATTAATGTGTATTTGCAATAATTAATCAGCTGCTTGTATTTGTAATTGCCAAAGTGTGCGCTAATTCGAGTGTGAACTAATGCATTGAGCCATATATTTGGATTAGGCAGTAATAACAAATTGAGGCTCGTATTAATTAAGCTTGTTAATTTAAATATTTATAAAATAAATGAATTTAATGTCTTTGTAAGTTTTATTCCTTATTATAAGCACTTTTAAGTTTACCATAGGTCCTAGCTATTAATGAAATTTGATTAAGCTCCAATGACAAATCCCATTTCCATCCGAATTGGTTTGACTCTCCAGGATACCTTCTGGCAATCCTTGCCCAAAACCGCAAAAAGCAATTATCAAATAAAGCAAAACAAGGACATTTTGGCCCAGCAGTGCAAACAAACAAAGCAATGCAAAACAACAGGAAATCAAAACAAAAAAAAAAAAAAACAAAAGCAACTCCAAGTCAAACGCAAAATGAAAGGACATTAAACATGAACGAGCATTGTGGCACAAAGTAAATGGCAGGATTAAAACGGCTCATTCTGTCTCTGGCCGTATGTGTTTGTGTGGACTGAGAGGAGAGCCGGGGAGCGGGCGGGCTTCCCATGACCAAGGATGCAAGGACACATCACTGCCGCCGCCTCACCTCACCTCACCTCACCTCCTGAGCCTGCTGCAGCCTCAATGCCGCCACTTAAGCAGCGCTACGTGAGCCAAGAGACACACACGCAAATAACTGCGGGGGTAGCTTTTAATTATCTCGTTATTTTTTAATTTCCACCATTTCACTGATTTCATTTTGAGCACATCGAGCGCGACGGGCGGTCGGTCGGTCGCCAAATGGAAAACGGGAGGACATAATAGACGGCAGAGCCAGAGAGAGAGAGGGGAAAGCCGGCTCCGTAATCCCGACGCCATTCCAACCTGCTGAATATGCACAAAACGAGGACCTTAAGACGCAACTAATTCTCAGCTCGCTTAATTCTGTCCAGGTTGTTGTCTTTGCGGAACACGGAGAAAAACAAAGTTAAGCAAAGGTTAAACAACTGAATGCCTAAAAACTGTCTTTAATATTTAATATAATAATAAGTGCTATTAACATACTCTTATAAGACCGTAAACCTTTCTATATCGCTTATATATAAAATAAGGTTAATAATGCAAAACTTACCAACTCTTTTATGCATTATTATTGCTATTTTTCTCTGTACTGTGATAATTTGCTTACGCTCTAATGGCCCGGCCACTTGGAGTGGTTCTTAAAGCCCCACAAAAACGACGGCAGAGTGTAAAGTGAGCTGAAAAACAATTAAGTCAGCTGGGGAAGCTCGACGACACCGACCGTCCGACCACCGACCACCGACCTCTCGACCCATCAGCCATCCACATTAACATCAAATTAGTTCGTGGATTAACACGTTTTTCACATGCCGGTGGCGAAGAGCAGGCAGGGGGCTCCTGGAGCCAAGCCCAAGCTCCATTACGCATACGACACGTTGGCGGGAAGGAGCTCTGAGAGGGGAGGATGGGGGTAATGGAAGGCAACATCCCGTTCTTTAGTTTCGACCCGTGCTCAGCGAGGCATGTGAAAGGCTTACTACACTAATTATACTCACGGCCGGCCTTTGCTTTTTCGGGGACATAGTTTAAAATACTCCAAAGTTTATTATTAACAAGTGAAACTATATTAAGAGTTGCCATCCTCTCCATCCGGGATTGGATAAAATGAGAGGCGAACGAAGCTCACAGCTAGGGTTAATGTGATAGAACTAAAGTGTCCTTCTTAAGTTTAAATAAAATGAGAAAATTTAATTACTGCTTTAAGTTCGGGAAAAATTTGATTACAGCACATACTTGGGCTTTTAAAGAATGTGATATTGGGAAATATAATATAAATTTATATTTAAAAGGAAATATAATTGTGACATACGTAATGAGAGTCATAGTGTAAATTTGTATTTTTAATAGGAAAACAATTGATTTTTGATGAAAATATAAAAGGAAATACTTATGCTTACAATATACATTTAAATTTAAAAGCAAAGCAATTAAATTTAATAAAAAAAACAAATATGTAAATATATATTATTATATAAAATGAAAACATACAATACAAATCTTTACTTTAAAACAAAATTAAATTAAATGCATCCCGCAGATGACAAGTTATTCCCCGAATTATGTTACATTCTAAAGAGTTCCAGAGCTATTATCTTCGCCACAACTGTGGTTATATTTAAATAAAGTTTCAGCTCGACCTGCAGCAAAGTTGCAGCTACAAAATAGGCTTCATCGCTCTTTTGTCATGCCCGGCAAGTGCAGGCAACATATAGCCGTATATCTTGGAGCTAAATCAGTGGCACAATGAGCATATTGTATGGCTAAAAATTTAATGCTTACGTGCTTGCAATATCTGCCGGCACGAAGAATGCGATTGCAGCGGATGAAAAGGATATGTGAGGAGCATCGACGGCGCTGGCAAAGTTCATAAATAAAGCGTCCGAAAACCTCGGCTTTTGGCTTTGGTTTAAAATAAAAGTTCCTCTCCATATCGTTGTCGGCGAACAAAAAATAAAAAATAATAATGGAGAAGTTGCTTGGAAACTGCTGCACTATAAAGAAAATCGTTTACTGATTTACTCGCTGTGCTGTTCGGTGGGAAAATGGGGGAAATCGGGATGGAAAAACGCTGCAACTAATAAAAGTTTTCGCCGTTCGGGGCTCGTTGCTGGTGGTCTGCCAGCCACACCCCCAAATATACACACTCGAGTCCTGGTCATCCTGGTTGAAATGTTTGTTGTGTTGTGGCTTTTCAGCAATTTCAACGCACGTCCGGAGGGGGGCACAAAAAAAAAAGAGAAACTTAATCCGCCAGGCACTTTAATAATGAGATTTATATTGAAGAGAAATTGATTGCCACGAAGGGAGTCGATAAATGCCAATAAACATCTGAATGATCGAGCTTTATAGAAGAAAGTACCTACAATATGCTTTCTACAAACTATATTTCCCTTCCGAGAAAATGCACATTTTACCCTAGTCAATTTGCTAACAATATTAATCATACAATTTGATTTTTTTTTTTATAGAAATTTGGAAAATCTGTTTAGCAGTAAAACTGATATATAAAGATAGGAAAAGGGTTTTTGTCACAATAGAGATGATATTTAACATCCGTGGATTTAAGTTTAAGTAAAAGCTTGTGGTAAAACTATTGCACTATTTCGACCGAAACCACAATTAAAAGTAAAGTGTACACAACTAGATCGGCTCGACTGGTGACTCGTTTCTAAAATACTTATATTACACAAAGTCCTTTAATGCTTACATAAGCTTATAATCGTAACACCCATTTTGTAAGAGTGTGAAGCAATATATAAAATTTTAAGGTATGATACAATAATAATTAAATAACTAATTACAAATAAAAAGAGTTACAAGACGAAGGGTGAAGAGTAGCCACATAGGAAATCTTTGGATAAATGGGCGACAATGAACGAGTGCCCCCCAATAAATATACTTAATAATTTATTTATTTTAATATTAAATACTGTTTATTTAAAGTTATAAATATGATATATATATATGAAGCTACAGGTGAGTGCAGCCCCAGATACTTTGGCATTAATTTTTAAAAGTATTCAGTTACCATTGCAGTTATATTATGATATTCATATGAGTCCCACTTACGATTTATGGCCATTTCATTGGTTTATTAACGTGTAACATTTTGATCATTAAGTAAAAGAAATTAAAAATGAATAGCTTTTCACGTTGAATAAATTTCATTACATTCGACATCAGAACTATTTTACTTACAATATGGGGACCTCTAGCGGAAGAAAAGAGCAACATATCACATAGTGCTGCCAGACGTCAAGAAAAGAGTCATCAAAAAGTATTCACATGTTAAATTGCTGTTAAATTTAAAATTACAAATATTAAAACATTGTTCTAAAAATAATATAAGTACAAATTAATTATTAATTTTCAGAACAAAATTGTTATATTTGGTTAATAGCCTATAGAAGTATTTTGTTTTAAAACTGTTCACATATATAGAATTAAATTTTGAGATAAAATTGTTCTCTTTGTAAGAAGTTGAACACCAAGAACTCGTGGAACTTTAGATAATAATTTTACTACATTATTTTAAAATTATGTAGAACTGTTAAATTAAAGGATTTAATTATGGATTTTAAAGTCGAACGTTTATATTTTCCTGGTTCATAATTATGAAATATGTAGGGTGTATTTCATATGCTAATGTAAATCAAAATGTATGTATTTTCCATTCAGTTTATAATTAATTAATTAAATGCAATAAGTTATTATTTAAACAACTGGTATAAACAAATAAAAATAAGAGGAAAAGGCAACTCCTTTCGCCCGACTAATTTCCTGTTTTTGTAAAACAATTTCCCAGCCCCAAGCCACTCCAGTCGTTGTTCCAAAAGAAACGCAATTAAACTGGCTAAGTGACATCCAGTATCCAGTATCCAGTATTCGGAGCCAGAATCAGAATCAGAATCAGAATCAGAGTCAGAACACCGCTGTGAAAAACACTCAAGAAATGTGTACCGACTACCGCCAGCGGAAGTGACATTTTTGCCCACTTTGCACATATTCAATTAGGTGGATTTGCTGGCGAGATAAATTGATTAATTTGCCAGCAGCGTACAAAAGCCAACGTGTATAAATACAACAAGAACTCTGCAATCCGTCAGCAGTTATTCTAGAACCAGTTTGCCGGCAAACAAACGTGTTGCCAACGTACGCCCACGCCTCCAGCATCGCCTTTTGCTGCCAAACAAAACACTCGACTGCCGGTAAGTAATAGTGTTTCGAGTGTTCGAGTATTCGAGTACCGATCCTCTGTACATACGTCACTGGTCCGAAAACTTAAGCCGCGTCTTAAGATTCACGCCCACAAATCGCAAGTGACGTATACGCCGCATGGGCTTTATCCATTACTCATACGCATACGTATGCGGCGCGTGTTGCCAATTAGTTAGGAAACATACAATTTGTGTCGCATAAAATTAACATAACTAAAAATTTTCCCACGATACCGTATTACCGATTATTTCAGCTCATTCCATATCCATATAGCCATATATTTCCATATTTTGTTTTGTCTGTTTCGCTTCGCTCGGAATAAATTGTAAATCGAAACCAGTTGCCAGAGCTCGCAGCGTGTCCGGTTGGAGGCAGGACAAAAGAATTCCTATTTAAGTTATTATTACTTTATTTCTCATATCATCGGGCATCTGGTCTTGGTCCGTTCTACGTTTTAACCATATACATATATTTTAACTGCATTTACAGCGCCATTAATTAATGGGCTCGCCAGTCGCATACGATTTGCATTCATTACGATTTCAGTTTCAGTTCGGCTGTGTCCGTTTGCTCGACACTTCCTGATGCCATAGGCTTTTTACTAGTTGCGTTTCGGAAAGAGCTTTTTTGCTTTAGCCACTTACTTTCTTTCCCAAGTTCGGTGAATTTTTTCGCTTGCTCTTGAGAATCGGGGAAATTTCTGTGAGCCATTTGCTATAAGTTTAAAAAATGGCAAGCAAGAACTATCAGGACTTCTTTCTCTTAGCAATTAAATCTAAACAATATTATTATAAGAACTTGAAATATAAATAACATGAATTACTGTTATATTCATCTTTTAGAATTTATAAATATTGTTAAATGTGTGACTCAATTTGAGCTACTTCTTTGCATTCCTTAAATTCCATTTGATAAATGCCAGCGTTAAAATCTATTCGCATGAAAATTATGCAAGATTCAGCATTTAAACATTTTTCTATATAGAGAAATACGTATTTTTTTGCGTATCGTTTACCAATTTGCATACGCTTAGCAACTATAATGGATATTTTATTGAGTTTGTACTGCTTTCGATTGGCTCAAACATCTGACGTATCTTAGCGCCACTGGGGCTGGCTGGTCGGACGACTTGCCTCTCATCTGCGACCGGCTTCCACATTTGTTTTTGTTTTTCTTTTTTTTATTTCATTTATATATTTTTTATTTTGTATTTTGCCGCTGCCTCGGGCTTCTTTACGCTGTTAAGCTTTCGCATCTGAGTTTGGGCCGAGAGCATATATAAAATAAGAAGACAAACGAGCGATAATAATTATTTCCACTCCGCTCTAGACAGACAACGGTCGCAATTCAGCCAGCTCTCCAAACCAAACCTATTGGAGTCTTGAAAAGATATCACCATGAACTGCAAACCCTTGATTTTGTGCACTTTCCTGGCAATTGCACTCTGCCTGGTGCATTACGGAGGTGCAGTGCCCGCCATTGGGCATTACACTCACAAGAGATTTGGTAAGTTTCCTAAAGCAACTATCTGTCTTAAAAGTGTTATATTAATTTTACATGTTTATCCTTTGCTGTTTTCTTTAGATTCCATGGGCGGCATTGACTTTATTCAGGTTGGTAATCAGAATTAGTTCTCGTTTTTAATTTTAAACTATAATATTGTAGAGTAAAATTTGCAAATAGCAGTTTAATAGTTTTGTTTCATTTGCTTGATTTAAAATGTATTAAATTCTTAGAAATATATTTAGTTCTTTTGGAACTTTTCTTATGAAAAACTATGTGATTGATATGTACTTGCATTTAAAACTTTACAATATTTAGAACTTTTACTATATGTACTTAATTACTTACATTTAGAACTTTATTAAAAAATATCTACTTTAATTTTCATCTAGGTCTGTCTAAATAACTGCGTTCAGTGCAAGACCATGCTAGGGGATTACTTCCAGGGCCAGAATTGTGCCCTTTCCTGTCTGAAGTTCAAGGGCAAGGCGATTCCTGACTGCGAGGATATTGCCTCCATAGCTCCTTTTCTAAATGCTCTCGAGTAAGTTACCGGCGAAGAAGCGGCTCTTGAGCGGTGTGCGAGGTGTGTGGATATGGATATTGGATATGGATGTGTGTGCTTTTATGGCCTGTGACTCAGGTGTGGATTTATTTGGGTCAATGCGACACGATGCTCAACACGAATCTTGGCGATCTTGGCTGCTGATGTCGACCACAACGATGATGAAACTGACTTTGCTACTAAAAAAAAATGAATTTCCAGCGCGAAACCAAAGAGTTCCTATTAATGTGTAATTGTATAGTGAATAAACATAATCTTTAGAAAATCTTTAGACTTTTCTTTTGAGTTTAAAACGGCTTAAAAACGTCTTAAAAGGGTAATAAAAGGGTTTCTTAAAAATATAAATAAATAAATAGTTAGTTAATATATTGAAGATCAATAGATTGATCTTTACTTACCATGGATATTTAGGATACACCATAATTTTTTTTGTTTTAATTTTATTTAAAAAATACTTGCATATACAAAAACTTACATCGATACATATTTTAAGAGTTGTTGATGTATTCTTTCTCACTTCTTTTTCGATTGCTTCGATATGCTTTAACTTAATCGCTCTATTTCTGCTATTTAATAATAATATATACAGAGAATGTATGGGTCATGCACGGAAATGCTGGAAAGAGCTCTGGAGAGAATGGCAGTGTCAAGACTAACTACTGACTGGCTACAGAAGTGCTTTATGGGCGGGGAGTGGAGGTGGGCACAGACTAGTAAGGAGACTAAGCAGTGTGAAAAAGGATAGAACAGGACGTCCCAAGACGGAAGTTACAGATACAGACGGTGGAGGCCAAAAAAAATGAATCGAGATTGTTGAACGAAACGTGGAAAACACAAATGGCAGTTACTTCCTAAAGTTCAGCAGCGTGTCCGGTATCTCATTGATGTAGTTCTGGAAAAATAATCATATATGTGAGTTAGTATCAGAGTAAGTGAAAGCTTTAATTGCACTTACATAGAGTGAGGGATCTACGCCATGGCCGCCAAAGTCTGCCCACTTGGTCAGATCAATTGAGGGAATGATACCACTCTTGCAGGGCACTCGAGGATTGCTAAAAGTTAAGAGAATAATTAATAATAATATTACTGCTTTTCTGATAAATCAATATTTACATTTCGTGATCCGGCAGGACCATGGGATAGATCTGCACAGTATCAATCAAGTCGGTATTGTCGCAAATCAGGCGAGACAGCTTCGCCTTGCGGATCTCCTGCAGCTGCTCTGGAGTGAAGGAGGATGGCTGATTGGGCAGCTCATACCAGAAGCGATCACCTCGACGGAGATAACTCATCTGGGTGGCAATGACACAGGCAAAGGTCGGTCCCAGCATCGAGCCAGGCAGGGATTTCTCCGAGACGCCGCCAGACCAAAGATCAATATCAGCAGGGTGTCTGCAATAAGAGGAGGTAAGTTATATGAAGTTTCTGGGAATTTATATTATAAATGAAGTTAAACGAAATTGGAAAACCCACTCGAATATACTGCCATAACGCAGAACCGTCTCATTGGGCATGGAGCCATACATCTCGTCCCAGGTGTTCGAGGTGGGCAGTCCGCAGAATTTGCGGAACTCCATATAACCGGGAATGCCGAACTCACGACCACGTTGCATATTAAACGAAACCAGATCCATGCCGAAGCGGGCTCCTTCCTTCTTGAAGAGATGATTGGTCACCTCCTGCGTGATCGAGTCGTCCATGGCCTGGGCCACCTGGTTCATCAGGCCCATGAAGTACTCGTCCAGGACTCCGGCGCGGTACAGGTCGTAGGGTCTGCGAATGAGGTCCGACAGTCGCTTTGAGGCAATGAACTTATGGGCCTTGGACCACCGCTCCACCGCTGTGGGCAGCAGGGAGTGGCCAAAGCGGAAGGCTGCTCCGGCAAAGGAGTCAATGATGCCGGGATTCACTGCCGAGTCATAGCCATCCCAGTAGCCATCCTTCTGCAGAACCAAGCCAAACTTCTCCATCACCTCCTTGCCCAGCAGAATAGGCAGGAACTCGTTGTATGTCACATGCTGGACGATGGCAATGTTGATTCGTCGGGCCTCCTGGAAAAGGGTCTCGTCGTCCCAGTGCTTGTTAATCTGGGACAGGCCGGTGGCCAGGCGATTGTGCTCCCGAGCCATTAGGGTGTGCATGCAAGTGAGCACCAGCTGCTCATTTACACGGATCTCGCCTCCCTCGAAGCAGTACATGCTCTTGTTGGGTCGCGTGCATCCCTCGTCCGGAATGTCCAGCTTCAGGGGGAGTAGATCCTTCAAGCCATACTCCTGGAACACGGGATTCATACGCATCAGGCCGCCGTAACCAGTTCGCAGTTTTCTAGCAAAGGCCTCCTTCACTCCATAAACTGTATTGGCATCGATGACACCGGTCAAGGTATTGAACTGTTGACGGGATCCTGGTAAGGGAAGGGAAATTTAAGTTAGTTCCACAGAAAATTACATCTTAAGAAAATTACAAAGCAATTGATATTTTAAAACTTCTATTTTTGTTTGAAGATTCAATCTAAAAGATTCAATCTAAAAGTTATAATACATACACAAATCTCAAATAATATATTTTTAACTTTTGGAAATAAAATTATAGAAGCTTCTATTTAAATTCTATTTCTATATTTTTAAAAGCTATTCGGATTTTTCTTTCTGTGCTGAAAGAGCAGAAATCTCACCTAATTTGCAGCCTGGTCGCGGTGAGGGGAAGCCGCGCACGAAATCGATGCACTTGACATTAAACAGACGGTAGAAGTAATCATCATCGGGCACGCGGATCTCGTTGCAGTACGGATGCTTCAGATGCATTGGCCGCTTGCAGCACTCCTCGGGGTCGTTGCGGTTAATGGGATCTGAAATCGGAGATTGTACCAACCATTAGATCTCCGTTCACACCATTTAAGTTTAGACAAATTTATTATACCTAAAATAAAAACATATTAATTTTGATTCATATGTATAGGATTCACTAGTATAGGAGGTAAATGTTTCTTTATAGATCTTTCACAAAGAGTACATTTTATTTGATTGATTTTTGCGAATCAATAAATATGAAATTCCTAGGAATGTAACATTTTAATTAAAACATTTTAGAAAATAAAACATTAGACGAACAACCAATTATAAAAATGAATTCATATTTTCACATTCTTTTAGCTGAACTTCCTTTAAATATATTCCTAAATTTTTTACCGAGTACTTAACCAACTCACCCAGTGGCGTTCCTGTGAGCGTAAAGTCGTGATCCATGAACTGGCCCCAGGCGATGACCATCACAGTGCCGGCATGATCGTGGTAACCGTCGTCGGGATGCATGGTGCGGGAGACCACACGCGAGAAGGGCAAATCTCGGCCAGTTACTGAGATCCTGGGTGCGTTGATACCATCCGCATAAAGCGGTCCAATCAGGCGCTGGAATGGAGCATTGGCTGCCCCCCAGGTGGGGTGTTCGATGTTGTTGCAGAGGCCATCGAAGCGGCGGTACTTCCCCGGACGACACTCTACGCCGGCGAAGAAGGGTGGACAAACCTCACGGATCAGGGTCTTGGATGTGTCAATGGTGGGCAGTCCCTTCTCGATCTCCTCATAGGACAAGCCATAACTAAAGTAAATGAATTATAAACGAATTTGAGCGTATATGTCAAGAGTAATTATCGCTGCATCTTAACGCAACTGCGGATATCGCTCAACTTGGCTTTTCCTGCCGCCGCTTTTTTCTACGTGTAAGCTTGAGATTTTTATTGAAAAATTGCAAAATTATCGTATTAGCCCAGTTAGCAAACGGACTGCAATTAACGCGCTTTTCGACTGGCCGACAGATATTGATGTTGATGCCTGACGTTGACAGTGGCAAATTTTTATATACTTTCAGTTGGTATCTGAGTGTCTCTTTTTTTGGACTGTGCTTTTCATGCTGACAAAACTGGTATTTAGTTGGCGGAGGAAACGGAGGAAAGAGTGTGAGCCGCCAAAGGGACTGACACCAGCTCTTCCTCGAGTGCATGAGAAAGCGAGAAAAGCCAAAGGGAAAAGCCGTCCGGCCTCCAGCTGTTGCATTGTGTGAAGTTGGGAAGTGAAAAACTGTGAAGCTTCACAGTCAATTGGCCCTGTAATTTACCTTCATCTGGGTGTTGTGGGTCGCAAAGCGTGAAAGTACACAGATCGGAGATCTATAACAGTCCATCATTGATTTACTAGGGCTATTCGCCGCTCAAAGTCGTATCATTGCCTCAATAGAATGCCATAAAGCCAGGCGGCAGCCGCTGCAACGGCCATTTACAACATGTTATTAGCCATAATCAAAAGATTATACAACGCCAATTCAGATGTTGCAGCTGCAGATGAAGATGCTGCCGCTCTCTGGACCGAAGAGCGTCTTAGACAACGAGTCTGAGTGAAAGTCGCACATGGGGAGGTGACGAGCTTAAAGGCTAGCCAAAGACTGCAAAACTGTGGCCAACTAACTCGCCAACCCGCTTACCCAGATTCCACTCCCCTGCACAGTGAGAAATATTCACTAAATATTTATAAATACAAAGAGATCTCTTTCGAGAAAAGCTTGATTTTGGTAATGAAGCAGGGAAATACATGTACAGTGCAGGGGCCAAGCAGTTGGAAAACCAAACTGGAAACATTGTGCGGCATCTTCCGCAGCTTCTTCTCGTGGGGGGCAGTCACATGACGAGGGTTTCATTTTCAGGGGGCACCAACGAGGGGAGTCACGCGCACTCTCACTGGCTTACTGGCTCACTCGCTGTTAGCCAAGCCAAAGCGGTCCATTGCATAACCCCCAGCCCCATCGCCATCGCCATCCGCATCTCCATCTCCATCCACATCCACATCCCCATCCCCATCGCCCGACTCTGGGCTTGCATTTGTTTACATTTTGGCGCTGCGAGCTCCGCAAATAGCTGCAAATATTTCTGTGTGGCAAAAATGCGGTTGCGCCAGTTGGGAAGAAGGCTTCGACGAGCTCTCGAATGCACTTCTTCGGCTGCCAACAGCGACTGGCCATCAGTCAAAGCCGCTGACAATTAGCATTTGCATGTGCCAAACTTTCAAAAAAGAATCATGGCACACAGTCAGAAATCAGATCGATGTTTAAATGGATGTTTTTAGGGAAATGTAATCATTTAAACAACAATTTTGTTTAAAATTACAAGAGGTTTTCTCAAATTAAAGAGTAAAAGATCTTCATATACATATTATTTGAAAGGGAACATTTTTCTCTGTGCCGATGCCTTCGAGCTTGAGTTCCGATTTTGTGGCGAGCGTAGAACCTTGGAGGCAAGAAAAGGCTCATGCATATTTGATGACTGCAGGCGGTCTTTTTCGGCGGTTTACTGGTGCAGTGGCTCGATGGTGCACCATTCCACAGAACGGAGCAGTGGTGCACGACTTAACTGCCTTGTCATGCGTGATTTGGCAATCGTTATTAGCGCCGAGGGACATGCTCTGAGTTGAAGCAACGGAGATGTAGATCGTGGGCGTGCCAGGGCAACTTTCAAATGCGTTTAGCGCTGATTACTTACGTGCGGGCCAATTGGATGGAAATGTCGAGCAGCAGCTCGCCCACAGTGGCCAGTTCCTCTGGCTTCCAGTCCGACTTTGGCTGGGCCACATCTGCAAAAAATACACATATACTTCATTTAAATCAATGGAAGTGTTTTGCAATGAATGGATTACTTCCTACTTGCCTTGAAACTATTGTAAAACATTATTCAAAACTCTTAGAAACTAAATTTATATTTAAATAGTTCTTTAAAGAATCCAAAAAGCAACCCTGGAAACACAATTGGTTCACAAATAAATGTGTATAATTCGCCATAATAATACTAAAGCCCTTCGATTTTCTCAAGGAGTTGCAACGAAATTATATATAATGAAATATTCATCTATAATTTGCTAAGCATAATGATCCATTATTAAATAACTATATCTTTATTACTCACGAATTCGCTTGCGTGCATCCAAGTAGGCGGCGTTGATGGCATCGTAGGTGATGCAAGTTCCCGGTCCATTGTTATACGGATTTCTGCAAGTAAATTGAAGTGAAAGTGATTTCAATTGACTATAACTGGCAATTTGTCCCTTATCACATGCTAACCACGAACCCAACCCACACACATTCCTTCTCTGGAAAGCCTGCGCAGTGCCAGATAACCAAATTATTGCCGGGCCAACGAGCTAAAAAGCCATGTTGAAAGAACAATGCCAAGTTCTGCGTTCAGTTGCGAACTTGTCGTGGCCACAGTAGCATCGTTGGAATGAAGAATAAAAAAGATCTAGAGCGGGCCCGCATTAGATTAGCGGAAATACTGAATGTCCACAAGGCAGACTATCGGAATGGACAGATTCAGGAGTTGTTGCAGAAATACTGTCAAGGACACCAAGGCCAACAAAAGATTATAAACTTGTTTCAATTAATTGTGCTGCTTATTTTTCTGTATCTCATTGGGAAATACTATTATGAGGAACTTCAGGGAAAGGTAAGTGAATATAAACCTAACTTGTTTTTGGAAATTTCTTAAAAATATGCAGCTATATACATTTTCCTATATCCCTTAAACAATTTCTTAATTATAGTTTGTGAATTTTAGAATTGTGCTCTTTCTTTGCCACGCACCTTGCGTTATGCCCTTCGACCGCCCGAGAGTTGTTACTTTTGTGAAAATATTAAACATGTGCCACGCCTTCAAAACATCAGTCCCCAGGAGTTTGAGCAAAAATTTGCTTACAGTGCTGCCCCTGTTATTGTCAGTGATGCCACACAAAATTGGACAGCAGTTTCGGTAACTATCATTAATAATAAAATATAACAATAGTATAATGATCTTATTTAGCTCTTCAACTATTGGTACTTCCGTGATGTCTATGCCAAGGCCAAGCAAAAGCAACACATTAGGGAGTGCCAGTTTCTGCCGTATAAAACAGGATTCCTTGACATATATGAAGCACTAGATATGCCCGAGGATCGGGTGAACCTGAGGCCTAGGGAACAGCCTTGGTATTTTGGCTGGAGCAATTGTCATGCCGAAACGGCCGAGGAATTTCGGCGGCACTACGGAAGACCCTACTTTCTGCCAGAAAGTTCCGAGAATAATGCAGTCGATTGGTTCTTCATAGGTACTTCCGGTCTGGGCACCCAAATGCATGTAAGTAAAGGGGAAAACAACCTGTCATTACTCATATATTTATGAGCCTCAAGGTTATCCATTTTAAGCTTTTAACGCTGAAAAGGCTTTAACGCTTTTGGGTTATGTTTTTTAATTAGCAGAAATCCATAAAAGCTTTACGATTTAATTTTCAAATTGACAGGTTTCTCTGTTTACTAGCAGAGGAAAGTCACTTAAAATCTTAACGAGAATAAATCATAAAAGATTGTCTAAATTCATTTAAATCACATATTTTTTCATCAGATTGACAACGTGAGACTGCCGTCGTGGCAGGCACAGTTGGCGGGCAGCAAACGATGGCTACTGGTTCCACCTCCGGAGTGCTACCTGCAGTGCAAGAGCTTCGATGTGGTTGTCCAGCAGGGCGATATAAGTAAGATGCATCTATATTCATCTACTTAAGTTGGATTTAAATTAGTTTTCCAAGAAATATTTCTTCAGCCAAGTGACGAACACCTACTACTGAAGAAGCCTAAGTAAACCGACTTTCTTGACCTCCTTGCAGTTGTGCTCGACACGAACAAATGGTACCACCAGACCTTTGTGGAGCCGGGAGCCATTAGTCTGACCATTGGTGCGGAGTACGACTAAGTTGGACCGGCTGCCAGTGGGTTTTCCTCGTGACAGGAAACGGCGGCTGCCCCAACATCTCCATCTGCAGACGGACGGACAAACCAAACACAGACAAATATGGCCAACTGTTACCACTGTTACAGTAACAAACTTAACTTTAACATTGCATTTTGCTAGCCATATTACTCGCTTTTCGCCAGCCGGTTTGTTAATTAAATGCCAAAAACACGCAAATTTCTTATGTCGAGCAGCTGCTGCTCTGCTCTGCTCTGCACTGAGCTCTGTGGCCCGGGAAAAATCTAACCAAAAATGGGGGCCGGCAGGCAACTTCCTCGAATGGTGCGACATGTAAAACGCGTGTCAGGCGACAACGATGCGTGTTAACAATGCGTAAGTATTAAGTAATTACAACAACATCCAGAGCAGCAGCAGATTCAGCCTAAAAGCAGTCTCGGCCAATGAAAATATTCAGACAAAATGCACGACGATACCAGGCATCAGAGGCATGGCCAACACACGCAATGCAAAACCATTTCAGCCAAAAGCTGCATTTTTCACGATCTTGCAGACATTTTACTCTTGTCTGGGGGTAGTTATATTTGCATTATTTAGCTTAGTTTTAATAGTTTTGATATTCTTCATAATTTTATCAAAAATAGCGGTAATTTAAGTAAAATATTTTCAAATAAAGGAACAAGGATTTTAAGATAACATGCTACGGGGCATGACAAGTGTTTTACTGATCAAAATCATTAAGAATTATATATATTTCAGCTTAATTTTTGTTGTTTTAATATCCTATCCATCAAGTATAATGATTCAACTTAATGTATTCCTATTAAAACCAGTAAATTTTAATGAATGATATCCCAATGAATTTTATTAGAATTCTAGATTTCTTTCACTTGTCATATATTGAATACTTCCATTTATTCCATATTAATTGTTATTTCCAAACCATCTCTATTGTGCTATAATTATTTGAACTATCTTTATTAAGCCTTTCTTTTATTTATACACTACTTATTCATATTATATTTCCCCATTTTATAGAGCATTTCGCAGTCGCCATTCCTTGAGCTCACTCTTCTCACATATTTCTTGGGCAAATTTGTCAAATTGAAATCGAAAATGGCAATGTCTGGCACTTAACTGGTCTGCCGGTTAATTTAAGCCACAAAAACAACAAGTACACACAAATACAAAAAACACAAAAAAAAGGATCACAAAATTTACGGCACTCCGGTAAGTTCAATGTGCGCATAGCCAGAGTTTTGGGCCAACTAGAAAGTGGCTCGCATGCGGCACGCACTGCTTTTGCCGATCCACTCTGCTCCGCCTGGTTGCAGACCCAAACCCAATCCCGTCCCGCCCCAGACACGGACTTGTACTTGTTATCCTGATTGTAAAGTAAAAACTAATGTTATGAATCCCGGGCGGCGATCGCAGGTGCGCGCTGCTTCGAGGCGGCCAAAACACACTTCCTGATCGGTATTGAGTTGCAGCGAAGCGGCGCACACGGCGTATGCGTAATATTGTGAATAATTGCAAAAGCGTGTCGTAAACTCGCTGTGAAAAATATTCAAATATCATTTATCTATGCGAACGTGGGTCTCTCGGCCTTTTACAATCTTTATTTTTTGGGGGGGGTTTGAGCCAGAGTCAGAGTCCGGAGTCGGAGTCTCTGGAGAGCTACTTCGCTTACGCAGACAGTGGATGGAAAAAGATTCAGATACAGATGCAGATGCAGATACAATTGCAGACTTTCCGCAGACAGAGCAGAGGCCGCAACGAAAGTGGCCCCTGCGAAAACCTGTATTTAAGTTTTTAAGTAGGTTGTTGCGGCCAATTTTCCTTTATTTTCCCATCTGACCAGCAGTTGGTTGCCAACAGGCAACAGGCAACAGACAACGGGCCACAGCTAAAAGCCAGGTTCAATACCCAGGCCAAAGTCAGCGATAACGACTCACGTTTTGGTTGCCCGGCGACCCCAAAAATTAGCTCCACTTCCACGATGACCCCTAAGCTCTCGAAACTGGCAAAGACAATCGGGCAATTGAACAATTTGCAATCGCTATCTGGATCGTGTGACATTTAAAATATGTATATCTATGCGCTGACATAAGTGCTGCACCGCAAGAATACCAGTCTTTTGTTCTTAAACATTGAATAAGGAAATCAATGTGTTATATATACCGAGAAATATAGTTTGTTTAAAGATAACATAATTCTCAGGCTTTCAATTAATTACATATATTTAGATATAGTGATTACAAGATTTATCTTCTTCGAAAAAGATTAATATTGTTAAGATTTTATAAATATATATACATTTAAAGCTTAAATATTATTTGCAAGAAATTAGTAAGAGGGTTTATTATTTTGACTTTAGAATATATGTTACATTATTTTTTGGTGACATTTCTTGCCGTGCATACTGAAGTTCAGCTCGGGAGGCATTGTGTGTTGGCAGTGTTTCAAAGTCACTTTTCGAAATCATCTCGAGACAAAAGTTTGCCATCAATGGCGGCTACAGCCCCACGGCAGCTCAGGTGTTTTTATTCCATTTTTAGTGTCTTTATTTTTAGTTTTATTTTTCCTTTGGCATCTGCAAGTGTTGCAATGCCATTTGTTTTGGGTTTACTGCCGCTGCGGCTTTTTGTCGTGCGGTTTTCCATTTTTTTTCGCTTACTAATAAATCGCGCCGATGTCTGTCAGTTGACTTCATGATGCGTCCGTCTGCATCACATGACTCTGGAGCCAAAAGGCTGTCGACGCTATTCGAGGCCAAAAAGCATTTGCTGATTGCCGTTAACGAGCCGCCGTGACAGCGAGTGAAACGTTAGGAGCCATCATCACAGCTGAGAACACAGGCGAGTGTAATCGGAGTCGAAGGAATGTTTTTGTCGCCTCTGCTGATGGATATATAAGGGAGTATCTGGAACTAGCTGGACTTATTGAAACAGTAGCAGTATAACCAGTGCCATGAGATCCCTGCGTATCCTACACTTGATTGTTTTCATCGCTAATTTTTGCCTTGGCAAGGTTCTTGCAAAGGCAAAGCACTGCCCTCACAGTGTCGCCTGAATTATAAGCCTATTTGTGCGATAAGATTCGAGGCCAATTTACCCAACCATTGCACCTTCGTCAACCTGTGTGTCCTTGTTCTGTACATTTGCAAAACCAAAGAACGTGAGTTTTAAAGTAATAAAATCTGAATATATATATTACCTTAAATTAAATCTTAATTTCCCAGAATGGCGATTACTGTCTACTGATATCTGCAAATATCATAGCCCAAATTGTGATAACATTGTTAATTATTTCTCCAATAACTCTAATCTGGTTACATACGAAGGTGTAGTAGAAGAGGATGAATAAAAAGAAAAGACCAATAAATAAAGAAAAAAAATATAAAGATATTGTTTTGCCGCCCTTTTCAGCGCCAATGAAGACATCGTCTGTCAAATGTTACCACAAACTTTTCTAGCCGCACAGCGGGCCTCCTCGAAAACCAAACAAAAAAAGTATATATGCAAGTATATATAAGATGGATATATCTCCCCCTCTGGGCATTGCAAGTTGGAAAAATCAACGTCAACAGGCAGCTGCCGCTGTTTCTGCTGCTAATGATTAGCTTAAAGCTCGAATGCCATGTTGTCGTAGGTGTAGAGCCGTGTCGCAGCCGCTCAAACAAGCTGGAACAGTGCAAGCCAAGATTTATGGGTGTCAGTCTGGCATTCGTACACTGGGAGGAAATATCAATCTTATTGAATGTCTTTTAATATTCTGATCATCTTCCTTTAGTGTGATTATTTAGTATATTCGTTAACTTATTCCCTCAATTTGTTGACAAAGCATATTTAACTTTATTTCAAATTCCCCATCAAAACTAATCCCTTTTTTCCCCCACTGCACTGTGTTTCGGTGCCAACGTTCAAATATTTGAGACACAAACATAACCCAGAATGCCACCGAAAAGGGGGCTCTTTCCGCAATTCCGCATAGACAAACACTCGGTTTCTATTTGTACTCACAAAGTGCCGCGGAATAGATTCACATTGTAGTCGTAGACGGAGGAGCGACCGGGTCCGGCCAAGAGAAGGGCGCAGTCGGAGCCGTGGGATGTCTGAAGCTGCTCGCCAAAGTGATGGTACTGCGCACGCGCCACGGCCACCAGAGATAGTAGAAGTATTCTGCAAAACGAGATGTAAGCAACATTAGTGGGTTTTTCGTGTTTTCTTTGATAAAGTAAGTACTTGAAGCAACAGTTGGCAAATTAGTACGTCAATATACATATAAGCATATGTCCATGCAGTGGAGGCGACACGCCCCGTTGACAAACAGAAACACGCCTGCGGCCAAAAACATTAATCAGTCAGCAAGTTGAACGTCCATAAGTTAAGCTACAGTTTGACAAATTGAGTTGCAGACACATTGGGTTAGCAAGATGTTAATTTTGCATTTTTTTATTAAGAATTTTTGCATAATTTTTTAAAAGTGTTACAAAATAAACTAAAGACAATTTGGAAACATATTAAAATGTAGTTGCATTTGTTTACTTGATTAAAGGCCAAAAGAGCTTGCTAAGCAAACGATATCATGTAATTAAATTTAAGACTGTAGAAAGCAAATCCAGTTTATTTTTTATTAAGAATGTGATATGGAATGCCAATATTCATAAAAATTTATTACAACTAAGATATATCTAATGACTTGAGCTGTAAGCACTAAATTGCCTTGTTTGCTTTAAAATTTATTTTACTTAACAATTCAGAAGACAGAAAGTGTAGTTGTGCCATGTTCTTTTTTAATATTTTCTTAATTTAAGAACTTTGGAACAATATGACTTGTAGTTATAAAATTATTTGAAATTTTTAATGGAATCAAACATTTTAAATATAATTCTTTTGTAATAAACAGTTATTTTATGCAATTAAAATATCTAATTGAAAAGATGATAATTGCATTTATTTAAATATTATTTTTTACATAAATTCCAATAAATTGTATACCAATTTCATATATGATTTCTATATTTTGGTCCCTCGGTAGCTGAGTTGTCTGTCGATTGGCAGCCAATGGAACCCATGTCCCGGTCTGCATTGTCTTCGGACAAGCCATTGTTTCGGGGCGTTTCTTTATCCGTCGGAATTCGACATCTGACATCTGGCAACTGGAAACTATATAGCAACCTTGCCTTTATTTCGCGGCTTTTAATGCGCTCAGATTTATGACTTGCAGCGCGTGTTAATCGCTTGTTAGCTTTTGTCGCCTCACAAAACGAAAGCCAAAAACAAAACCCAATATTTTCGGGCAATTGTTAACGGCTCTTGGTGAGTATTGATATTGATTGCTATTGTTAATACTGCCCTCAGGCAATGGCCAGCAGTGAAAGTCCCAGATATGCCACGCCCGCTTCTTATATAATCGAAAAAGGGGCTGGCCTCGGACACCCCTTAACACATGTAGAGCTTAAAGTGCTTCAAATGAATTGATTGAAATTTTTAACGCAATTAATTACTTAATTAAAAGAGACTGCGACCTAGAGTAGAATAAATTACATTATTTGTTATTATTAGTCAAAGAAACACTTACTTTTTATGTGTTCTAATTATAAATTTAAATTAAAAAGAAGGCAACTTCGCTCCAAGTACTTCTAACATAAAATGATAATGATATTTTACTCATTAAATTATAAAGCTAAAAAGTTGTTGTTTTCGCCAGCTGTTTATGTGCAATTTCCCTTAAGATCTTTAATGATTGTTGATAATAAGTAAAGTTGTAATAACGACTGATACACTCAGCAGTAAATAGTGAAAGTAATATGCTTTTCATCTCTATTGAGGGTCTTGTTTTGACGAAGGGCACAGCTCCCTGGGCATTGCAGATTTGCTTATATAAGCGCCAAGGGAAACAATAACGCACTTAAGTCCTTTCACTTTTCATTTGACAGCTGGATCGGGGCTTTCTTTTCCACTGACCAAGTAAAATGATATACCTTTTATAGGTATCCCCTTTCCAGGGTTCACTGAACCCCAGGTCTTTGCCTGAAAAGTGTTAAATGCACCTGCTTGCATTATGCATATTGTGATTTTTGTATGTTGAACATCTGCTTCGTGAATGAATAGCTACAAAAAAATATGTTACTCTGTATTATAATAATACTATTATTAATCCAGAGGTTCGTTCTTATAAATACCCTACTTTGAGTTGAGGAGTTCATTTTTACGGCTTACAACATGAGGGTTGTCTGTATAGTTATGCTTATTTCCCTGAGTGTCCTGGCCCTGGCTGAAGGTATGAGGGTAAGGCCTCCAGTTCTGCCTCCTCCGTGTCCTCGAGCCTGTACAAGAGAGTATAGACCTCGTTGTGCCGTTTGGAGGAGGAGTGGCCGCACTAGTGTCTGCACTTTCCCCAACAAATGCACTTTGGACAATCACATATGTTTAACGGGTCAAAGTAAGTTTACTTAAATATGTAAAATATACTATTACATGTTAACTAAATCATTATTTAACAGATTGGCAGGTCCGAGATGAGGATAGGAAGTGCTGGCGCGATTCTCCGGACTGCGATGCCATTCGCAAGTAAACTGCTTTCTATATTGTGTTGACGATACATGACTTTATAAATATATAACATATTGAAGAAAGAAACTTGAAACAACTGTGTTTACGTTTATATTCTCATATTATAATATATATGTATTATAACAACTTGAAGACAGGATGTGAGTTAGACATTATGGTATATTTTGGAACCTTAAGACCACAAATTCCAAGACTCTGATTAATGTCAGTTCCCACCAAATTAACAGAAGACTTGCTCACTCTTGACCGTCATAATTTGCAGTTTCACAACTCTTTACGCTCCTCGAGCTCGAGTTCGAGCCGCGTTAAATGCTTATTAAATCTGGTTACCAGCGAGTTGCTTTCATTTTCGGCGGTTTTTGTGAGCGAGTATTTTCGCACAGAAGTGAATTTGGTTCAAGGCTGCCCTTAAAATATTTCACAGAGACGGGGAGCTGGTTTTCGGTTCGTTTCGTTTCGTTTACGATCAGAGTGCAGTTCATTAGCCGTCATGACAGGGCAATTAGAATGCGAACAAAACGCATTCGCCCACACAGACGACAGTCGGGTCGGTGATTTTTTTATTAGCCCGACATGCCACGCCCATGCGCGTGCCAAAATGTGGGCGAAGGAGGGGACCAGGCTCACAGATCGAGAGCTACCGAACCGATATTGAATGCATTGCAGGCCGCAGATTTAATTGCCGCACCGGAGATGCAGATCAGAGTTGCTGGCAGCGGGCCAGCGGGGCAGCGGGCCACTGCGTAAGTCAATTAATTGTTGCTCGCCTTTGGGGCGACAGCTTTTGTGAAAGGCCAGCACGCAACGTCCTTCTGGCCAAGAGCCGATGCCAAAAGCCAATCCAGCACTGCCACACAGCGGCCACAATTTATGCGCACTCGCATGCATATGCAATCTTTACACCTGCCCGCAAGAGTCAATTAATTTCGCCTCGTCGATGGCTGGCCAAACGACTTTTACACAAAAATCCATTGCTGGCTAATCCGAGGCACTTGGTCACAACCCCAGCCACTTGGTATTGTATCTCGGATGGCACACATTTTGGCGGCCCAATCCGACCTTCTTTCGGGGAAATAGCAACTGCCCATGCACCCAAAGAAATAATTCTGGGTTTATTTGTTATGGGAATTATTATTATTTATGGTACTCGAAAATTCTGTTTATTGTTGGATTATTTATGTGAAACATTTGTAAAGGAGATTCTGATATTGCACGTGCTTTCATTATACTGACGAATTCAACATATGTTTTAGTAGAATGAATATGAATGAAAATTGCTATACAAAAAAGTACCCCCAAATTAATTGTCTTTATTTGCGAGGTCTGCTCTATAAATACTTTACTCTGCTATATCAAAAAAACGGAGAATCTTTTTAAACACAACATGAAGGCAGTCTATATTCTTGTATTATTTTTGAGTATCCTGGTTTTCGCCCAGGGACTCTCTTTAATAAAATGCACACTAAGTTGCACAAAGATTTATAAACCTCTATGTGCTGCTTTGAGAAGAGGTTCCAAAACTACTGTTTGCACTTTTGCCAATAAATGTCTGTTAGACTCTGCCATGTGCCACAATAAGCAAAGTAAGTTATCTATTGAAATAAATATTATAAACAATATATAAAAACTAATTATTACAGCTTGGGAAGTACTAGACAGTGATAATAAATGTCAACGGGATAGTTGCAAATGCAGAGATCTTTTAAAGACAAGTTGATGAAGTTGGAAATCTTAAAATCTATATTATTTACCAAATTTCTTGGGAATGTGATTACAAAAATATAAAATATTTAAGTTTATAGTACTATACACTTATGTGGTTTGGTAACAAACGCATGCGAAACCAGATTTCTTTTGTGTGCATTTCACGAACAAAGAACAGGCGCAGTTGCCCAATTATAGTCGCCATATAGGACTCTCCCTGTGCGATCTGCGCATATTTAAAAGCGCATCCAAAAGTTGACATTTGCTAATAATACCCGAATATTTTTTCCACCTCCAAAAGCCGACACTTTAATTGCCCCGATGCATTGTTGGGCGATGAGTGGTGGTGGCGGAGGAGGAGAGCTGCCAGCTGCTGATTGTATCAGAGTATAGCTCTGATGCTACTTATGTCATCTTCGCTGTAATACCTGGGATCTGGGACTTGGGATTCGGGTACTGGGGACTGGGGACTGGTGGTCTTGGAACCACCGAAAAGAGGCGTGCCAAGAGCAGACGTAGGACTTTTTGTTCGGTTCCCGCTTTGTTTGCAGCTCGTTGCCAACTTGCCACATCGCTCGCATTGTTTATATGTAAATTGCATGCCCCGACTCCCTGGCATCATGCTGGCTCCGAGTTAGTGGCTGATGTCATGTAAATGTGTGGAAATGACTTTTGTAATGCACAGGCAGGGAAAATCATAATTTATATGCTCATCGTTTCCATTGATAGTGATTGAGTATGTTGTGAGGTGAAAATCTGACAGATGTCTGAAAGTGCATCAGATGTATTCAGTTTTTCTCTAAAGAAACCAATCGCATTTATTGATAATGATTAAGTATGTTGTGAGGTGAAACTGTGAAATATCCGACAAACATCTATACAAGTCTTGAATACATCTTGCCAATCGAGGCTTCCAGCTAAAGTTCACACCATTTTACTCACAAAGTGTAGATGACATTGCCTGATTGCATGATAACTGAGTGCAATTTATAATATCCAAGTATTAAAGGGGAGATGATTTCCATAAAAAATTGTTTAGTAAATTCATATCTCTGATTTTCACACAATAAGGGAATTTCTATTAGTTTTATAAACAGTATAATGATAACTTTTAATCTCTAAGTGTAAGTTCAAGTTGTAGCAAAGTTAAAGACTAACAGGTCTTACTCTAAGTTGTTATGTCAGACTTTAACTAATAAATACCAACAAGTCATTACTATTTATAAAAATAAACTTAATATATATATAATAGATAAATATATAATTTACCATGTTAGCTTAAAAGTAAAGCTGAAAATGTATTTAATATTTAAATGTCGTTTAGCCTGGTTTTCTTTTCATTAAATGTATGCCGCCACTGTCATATATTTTTCTACATGCCTGCAATTCGAAACCTCTTATTAAGATCATTTATCATTAAGTAACCTTAGTTAGAGCCACTCAATCGCCACGAGCCGAGTGCCGACAATCTGCGATATGTTAAGATCGAGATATGTTGCTGCACTTCTGTGTGTTATTTTTTCCCATTCGCGGCTAACCCATGCTGAGTGGATCTCGTTTCTGGGCCTGATTGCTAATGCCAGCCAGAGACTCTGGCTGTTTTAATTGTTGCACTTAGCCAAGCTCAACGTTTTGCCCTGGCCAATTGCTTAATTGATTCTTGCCAGACAGGTAGCAGCGATCTCATGTCTTCACATCCGCCTGGCATTTCGCAGACAGCGAAGCAAAGAGCGACAAAACACATCCATCCATGGGGCACACATGGCGCATACTTGATAAACGGCAGACCAATTGCAACATGACGCACATTTATGTGGCATTAGTGTCGCCTTCGATATTTTATTGTGCCATAAATTGGCAATGCAAATGCAGATACGATGCCACAGAGCATACGGAGCGATAAGCAAGCCAAGAGCTGCCTTAATTCGCTCTCTGACCCACAAAAAATACGTTTGCGATACAATCTGTGCGAGAAAATCTATTTAAAGTTGAGTGGAGTACATGGAGACAAAAAAAGTGTTACTCTGCTTATACTGAAACTAATAATATACGTTTTCCTTTTCACATTTAAATTGGGAACCAAGTAATCAAGCAATTAAGAAGCATTTGTATATAGATTAAAATTTAAATGATATCCTAAAAGTAATATATATTTTTCCCATGTACTATTTGCGGCATGTGAAGGGTTTTGATATATCGCCCCAGCAGCACGCAATTGCGATAGCATCTCGGACACGGCTTACGTGCGGTTTATGGACTCCAGCACAACAAGTCTTTAATAGAATGTAACCGAAGCTGCAGCTGGCCAGTCAGCCAGTCAACCATCGAGGCGAACAAGCCAAGAAAAAACCAACTGAATTCGACTCCGATCTCTGGTCCTCTTGACTGATAACCGAACTGGCTGCAATCTGACGCTTTAACAGCTTATTAATTGGGCGGCCGCCCCTTGCAGATTTATACCTGGCCAAAAGCGCGGCTAATTGCACACAAATTGCGGCGGCTAAGCTAAATCAGCCGAGAGTAAATCAGCGAGACGGAGCAGCGACAAATTCAATGCCAGATTTTTGACCAAAAACTGCTCAATGCAAAACTGGCTGCAGTGCCGCCGTTCGATTGTGCATAAATCAAATGGAAAACCACTTTTGCATCACACACACGGGGAGAAAATGATGAATGTTTTTAATTATTTATCTAAATTAAATTATATATTCATGCCCGAAATATGTACTGCGTGTCTTAAAATTGATTGCTTTCGATCTCTAGTCAGGTTAGATTTATTCTATAAATGACATATGCCATTTTTCCTATACAAGGTGCTTGATTGATGGATTTTTCTCGGTGCAGGACTTTTTGCGTTGGCTCTTGGCTTGAATAAGCCGACCGCCTTGACTTTCTTAGTCGCGATTCGAGTGCACTTATCCACTGCGGCTGAGCATCCTTCAGTGCT